CAGCCCAGAATCCATTCACACAGTGTTATTTTCCTTAATGGGCCAGGAGGTAAACTGTGGTCAGCTTTATCAACTCAAATGGCCTCCACAGTTCCTTATATCAGGCATTGATTCATTTCTGATAAAAAAAGGTTCCGGCCTTCTGTCACTGCAGTTTAGTTTAAGAATAAGGAAAAGGTCACTTCAAGGCTATGGCCAAAGGAGAAAAAAAAGGAATATGATCTAATCTTGAAATATCTAGGGGAAAAGAAAAAGTAGTTGTGGTCACAAAAAGGCAGACAAACAGCACAAACCAAATGTCCTCTGCAGAATAAGTTTAAATACTGATTCTTGCAGAGTTGCATTATCACTCAGGTCTCTCAAACTCGCTACAGCTGCAGTTAGGCTTAGTTCAGTAGAAACCAGATTCAAAGAATGGGTCACACTCAACTCTACATTGATTCCCCAGCTACATTTTAGGCACATTTCAGTTAATCTGTTGAACTGATTTGGGAAAGAAAGAATTATTAGTTATACTTCCAGGGTGGCCTCAGCCAATTTCACAACTATAATCTTGGACAAGATTCAACCACAAGTGACTGTTGCCTTTAGAATGGAAAGACTAATTGGTTGAAAACAGCATCATGAAGAAGATGCAGCAGCCTCAGTTTCTAGAGTCCAGTTTGTTATAAATCCTAATCTGCCTGATTTGTTACTTGTTTAGCAGCCTTAAAACACAGGGAGGGGCATCCTGAAATTCCTGACTGTAGACTTAAAACCAGATGCTGTTCACATGGTGCTGTATGGATATTTGTTACGTCGCTTAAAAAACAAAACAAAACAAACAAACAAAAAACCCCCACAAACAACAGTATTTACATTCCTTTCAACTGAAATAGATGAACTGTCGTCAAGTCTGCAAAAATACAGAGGAAATCGCCACTGCTCGAGGTAGCGAGTTAAAGCTTGGTCATGTTCTTGGGCTTCCACTCGGCTTCCTGGGAAAGGCAGGGGAAGGAGGACAGAAAGGACTTTCACAAAGTCAGGAGGTGACAAATGAGATGTCAGCTCCATAAGGGATTAGGTTCCCTCACCACAAGCTGAAGGTATACTCTTGACCTTTTTAACTATGGCATTTGCGTATAGATTACACCTCTTGCATACCCTTTTTAAAGTGATCCCTAAGAGTGTTGGCTTGGGAAGACACAGAGAAGGGAGCAGGAGTGGGGTTTTAAAGCTACAAATGTCAGTTAGGAGGCACAGTGTTATTTTTCCCTTTGATCGTCCATGTACAGAGCTCTATCCTTCCACCGTTACTTGTGCGTTCCTCCTGCGAAGCCCTGGTAGTGAAGGCCTCTGGTGTGTGCTCCTCCCAGTCAATCCCATACACCTTACAAAGACAAGAAGTTGAATCCTTTGGACAAATCCTTCTATGCTCACAGACATACGATGCCTTTTTTCCTTAATGGGAAGTTTTAGTCACAAAACTGGATGCCAGACCTGATTTATAGCAATTATTCAACTAAGAATCCTTCTGCAACCCTCAAAAGGGCAACTGAGATATCCAGTAGCAACATATACACATACATACAGATCTACACTATACACTCGGGATGACACAAATTGAGATTTCAGCTAATATAGCCTCTATTCGATTTCCTCAGAGCAGCACTCAGGTCCTTGCAACCCCTATACGAAACAGCAGTATTTTTTCCACCAGGATTTGGAGAGGTTTTTCATCTTGTCTGGAGTCCTACACTTGGATTTCTTTGGTTGCTGCTGGGTATCCGAGTACTGAATACCAGCCACAATGGCTGCATCAAAGACCTCCTTGAGGTTTTTCTGAGTCAAAGCAGAGCACTCGATGTAGGACGTGGCTTTTATTTCCTCGGCACAGAGCTTCGCAGCCTCCTCCGAGACCGGCTTTTCTTTGCACTTGTCCAGCTCAATGAGGACTTTGACATCCTCCCGGAGGTCCGACTGTGTCCCAACCAGGATAATGGGTGCCTTGGGGCAGTGGCATCGAATTTCAGGAACCCACTTCTCACTCACATTCTGGAAGGATGAAGGGCTCACCACACTGAAGCACAGCAAGAAGATGTCCGTGTTGGTGTAGCACAGAGGCCTGAGCTTGTCAAATTCATCCTGCATGGAATAAAATTGCATTAGCACCCCACAGAAAGAGCAGCTCTAGCCTACTTTGGGGAAGCTGAGGATCACCTGCCACTGCCCCCCCGAAAAGCACCTCAAAATGAGCACCCAGAGTACCCAACAAGGTGTGTTACAAACAGAAGTTGCCTGTACTCAGCCTGAGGTCTCATGGCTGCCAGCCAGCAGGCACTCTGCCACTGCTGGGCACACAGGACTAAGGTGGTGGCTTCCCTGCGTACCTGAGATATTCTGATTCATGCCAGAGGTTATTTCAAGTGCTTAAATATTTCCTTTGCTCTTTGTACAAAGGCCTTCTGCCCTACTTCAGCAAAGAAGCAAAGCTGCGGGAAGCAGGTTACAGCACAGAAAGCCAAAAATTGAAGAGAGAGAGTACTTTCTCCGGGGCCACCTCTTATAGGGGTGAGTCAGTGAGCAGCTCTGATGAAGAGCACCCATGTACCTCAAAGTTGCTCTGCTGACACACCAGAGAGCAGGCATGTGGCAGCAGGTACCTTTCTGGGTACCTTGCCTGGAGTTGGCTTTTAAACTGGTAACTACTTAACAACATCCTACAGGATATGGGAATGATTTCCCTGCCATTGTGCCCAGGGATTTAAATCTGAAGGGAGCAATAATGGTTTACAATGTGCAGGCTTAACATGCCAATTACATAGAGTAAGAGCTTTACCTTTCCCTCCCACCCATGCCACATCAAACAAACTGCAATCAGGCCTCCCAGCACTACCTTTCTGTGTTTTTGTGGTTTTTTTTCCTTTTAGTACAAACTCCAGCAAAGCACGGCCCTTTTTCAGCTTCAAAATCTAGCCACAAGAAAGCCAACATGGTAACAAAGGCATCCTGATCCTCAGGGAAGAATGCAGCTAGAAGAAAGGGTTAACTCCAGGCAGGCTGCTTTTATGCTGACAGCAGGATAAAAGCAGGGTAACACTAGCAGTCTGAACAGGTAGGATTTGCCTCAGCAGCAGTGACATTTTAATTAAAATGGACCATTTTCTCAGAAGCTTGGAATTGAAAGTGCACAGAAACGTAGAGCTGAAAACATCTCTTCTGGTACCAGCAGTTTACTGTTGAATTTCAAGTTCCATGATAATTTCTGAGAGGTGAGATTTTGCTTTAAAGCCTCCGGAGGCCCAAGATAAGCAGTTTAAAGACCCTTGGAAGCCTCAGAAGTCCTGTTCCACTCAAATGAATTTCTTCTAGCAGTATCTCTGGGAGCGACAGCGATTTATAAAACATGAGTCAAGAAAGTAAGCTTCATTAGCTCTCTTGATTCTCAGGTTAAGCCTCAGAGGAAACGAGGCTCTCACTGCTTGGCTCGAGAAAACCCCCACATTTACTGAGAGATGCTGTGCTGAACAACAGGGCTGTTTGCAGAAAGGTACCTTGCCATATAATTGCCTCTTCTTGCTACATGAGAAAGCTCAAAAGCATTTTAAATTCAATGGGTTTGGAAGCCAAACCCAGATCTTAAGGGTTCCACCAAGATGAAATAGTGCCCTTTATATTCCAAGTACACTCCTGCTGTTTCAATGGCAGACACATGGCCTGCAGAGACTCTACTCCTCTTTGGGCTAGTGAGGAAATAGAAATAGAAGCTGAAATAGAATTTCCCTCTGTCTGGAGTGCTCTTTTAGCTGCAGATTTCAGCAGCCATCTCCCAGCAGCAGTTTCACCAAAGTATCCACCTAGGAATCTTTTACTCAGGACGACTTCTGCCAGTTTAGATAATCCCTTCATTTTAAAGGCAGTGACTCTACCCATTCCAGCTGCCCTTGGGCAGCCATAGCAAACATCTTAAGCATTAATGGCAAGAGGTGCCGGGGTGGCCTGCCCATCCCTCCTGCAGCTTGCAGCTGCATTTCCACAGGCATTGCATATCCACAGGCTGTCACCCGACGGCAATTTCACCTGCCACACTCTGCATATGAACACCCAGAACCAACGATCCTGCCTCTTCAGTAGGACATGAAATTAGGGGACAGTTTTTCTGTTTGACTTTTTATTGGTACATGCAGAATGCTATTTGTAGGATTTTGGCACTGGTTTGTAGGGTGCATGGGAGTCCTATACTGCTGTCGAGGACTGCATAGTCCTTCAAACCTGTTTCCTAAGTAGGACACTCAATTATTACTCATCTAAATGGGTTTGTATGTTAAGGCCACTGAGATTTTCCAGCGTGGTTTTGGTGAAGCTATAGACCTAGGTCCACAAAGCTGCGCAGCATCCTAACTCCCGCTGCCTTCAAATTACAGCGAGGTAGCAAAATATTTTTGCCAACTTTTGGTTATCCAGCCTCGACCCCTTGCAAGCAGTGTTGCACTCTGCTCAGGGTGGTACAAGCCATGGACTTGCAGAAAATATAAGGCAGTAAGAAATGGGCTCTTTTTATGTATCAGGCAAACTAGGAGATGAGAGACATTAGCTACCCTCATCTCTTCAGCTCTCAGATTACAGCAAACCTCAGCTTCACGGCAGCATCACTTTTTAAGAGGGTGAGAATGGCAAATAGGAAGTCTCCACGGACAATACCCAACAGGACTTTTTTCTCCTTTCAGCCTCTGTCCCTTCAAAATCACAATCTATCTCTGGACAGCTAAAGCTGTGGATGCTTTGCATGCGTACATCCTAAACACCCTGATTCTTAAACACAGTTATTAAGCAAAAATAAAGACAACTGCTCAAAGTGACAACTGCTCAAAGAGAAAACCAGGTGGCCGTTGAATCCCCAATATGTTCAGCCTTTCTAGTCAGGCTAAACACAGCAGCAGGTTGAGCCAGCAGAGCAGCAGCCTGTGGCCAGCCCCTACACAGAGGCACAGTATGTCCCCCCTCCCTTCAACAGACACCGGACAAAGCAGGGCGTTAAGCAGCAATGAAAATGATAGCGGATAATAAGATGATCAAACACCGGGAATACTTTCAAATCCATGAAGTCATTTGCAGGACTACTTTGCGCAACAACTTCTCCCCTCCCGCTGTCACTGAAATCAAATAAGTAGCTCCACTGACCTGACCAGCTGTGTCACAGAGCTGAAGTCTCACCGGCTTGCCATCGACAGACACAACAGCTTTGGAGAGAAAGGAGGGAAGGGAAAACTGAGGTGAGTCCAAGTTTGCACGTTTTACATTATAGAAAAATTAAAAAATCAGCTCTCATAGCCTTTTCTTCAATTAGTTTAGATTCAACAACTTAGCAGAGCTGGAAGGGAGTTTGTCGCTAACGCTTGGGCACACACAAGCCCTTCAGGGCTTTCCGATTCATTTCACTACAAGAGATGATGTAGGCGGTGACGGTACCAGCTCTCCGCCAGCAGCGCCAAGAGCTAGCCCAGCAGTCCAGAGTCTTATTCTGCTACAAGGGTTTAGTTTATTCTCCCCCTCGTACACCTTCAGCACGCCCAGGACACAAAAAGACCCCGCTGAACCACAGAGAAACCCCAGAACCTCCCCCTTTGCACGGGCTAGAGAAGGTATTTAACCTGATCTTTAAGCGCTTCCGATACGCCCGAGAGAGCTAAGCTTTACAGCGGAGAGTTCCCAATTAAAGCTCGGCTCTGGCCGCACCGCCAGGCACGACACTCGCTGCCAGCCCGGCTCCGTTACACCGGCGACTGGCTGGTGCTGCTGCTGCCTGCGATGACAGCCTGACAAGCTCCGGTCCTGCCCGGGCAGGTTCCTGCTACCCACAAATAAATAAAGAAATCACCGAAGCTGGACATCACCCCCTCCCAGCAGCCCAGCCACGGCCCCGGGAGAGGCACGACCGGGACGCGTTCCCCGCCGCCCCTCCCGCCGCCTCGGTCCCCGCGGCCGCCCCGGTCACTTACCGGAGAAGTTGTCGAAGGCGGTGGGGATGTACTCGGTGGGGTACCCGTTGGTGGTGTAGCTCACCACCAGGCTTGTCTTGCCCACCGCGCCGTCCCCCACCAGCACGCACTTGATGCTGCGCCGCGGTTCCGACCCCGCTCCGGCCCCGGTTCCGGCCACGGCCGCGGCCCCGGACCCCGCCGCCCGGCAGCGGCCGCCCAGCGCCGCTCCCAGCGCCGCGGCCGCCCGCCCGCTGCGCACCCTCCGCGGGGGCACCGGCGGCACCTCGCAGCCGCCCGGCGGCACCGGCTTGCTGATGTACCCCGCCTCGCCCTCCTGCTGCGGCGGCATCCGCGCGGCCACGCAGAGCCCCGCGGACCGGGGGCGGCGCGCTGCCCGGGGCCGCCGGCCGGGGGGCGGCGAGGCGCGGCGGCGGTGGCGGCGGGCGGACGGTGCAGGGCCCCGGCGGGCCGGCAGGAGCGGCGCGACCGCCGCGAAGCCAGCCCCGGCGCCGGCTGTCTGTCCCCGGGCGCGGGCGGCAGCGGCGGCTCCCGGCGCAGGCGGCGGCTCCCGGTGGCGCTGCTACCGCCTCGCGCCGCGCTCCCGAGTCCCGGCGGCCGGCCCCGCGCCGCCGCGTGACATAGCGCGGCGCTGCGGGGAGGGGCCGGCGCCGCTCGGCCCGGCCCGGCCCGGCACGGCACAGCCCGGCACGGCCCGCCAGGCGGCGCCGCAGCGCCCCGCGCCGCCCGCCCCGACGGCCGCGGGAGCGCCCAGGGGGCGGGCCACTGCCGCGCGGCCTCGCCTCTCATTGGCCCGCTCGCCCAGCCGGGAGGCGCCATTGGCTGGTTTGGCGGCGGGGGCGGTGCCGCTCGCCCCGCGGGCCCCGGCGGTGCGGCCGTGAGGGGCCGTCCTGCAGGGAGGGCGCGTCCCAACCGCGGCGCTCTGGGGCACCGCCCGCCTCGGCAGCGCTTCGCCGCGGCACGGGGGCTTCACCGGAGCCCCGGAGGCTCCTCGGTGCGGGTCTGGGCCCCAGCTGCCTGCGCCCCTCTCCCGCAGGGGCGGAGCGGATCGCACTTAGCAGGGCGAGAGAGCCGTGCGGTTGCGGCGGGGTGCTCTCGGCGTGTTTGCTCCGTGAGCTCCCACCCGCGCGCGTGTGGAACGATAACATGGGCCGCGTGCCGTGGGAAAGGGGCGCTTCATTTTTAGCACCGTTGAAATAAGTTGGCCGTGGGAGGTTTTGCAGTCGAACACTGGAAATGAAAGGCTGATGAATGGCTTGGCTCTGCCCTAAATTGGGAAAGTTATTAACACATTTCTTCTGGGAACCTTAGCAGCACTGTACAAACCGTGCACTGTACATGAACCGTGCCACCTGGAGTATCTGGGATACCTCCCTTGGCAGGCATCCAGCGCGGATGTCTTAGACAACTTACCCAAATTAGTGCTGATAAGTCTATGGCAGGGTGGGGATTTCAGTTTACCATTTTCAGCATCTGAGTTCCCACTGCGCCCTACTGTTTCCCTCACTGAAATGGAAGCCTGTGTGAGGCAGCTGGTTTAGTACTGCAGCACATGCTACCTCTGCCCATCATGCCCCATCTGTCTGTCTCAGGGTAAGTGGGGGAGCTGGAAGTGTCAGGCCTGTGGGGATGTCATCTTCCAGCTTCAGTGAAAGCTGGAGCTGTGTGGTCTGACCACTGAAGGCTCTGCAAAGGCTCATGCCTCATGGAAGTAATTGCTCTGTACAGCTGATCTTGTTTTCCTGAGTGCCCTGGCTTCTTCCACTGGAAGCGTCACTGTGGCTCTCCATAGGGTTGTGGCACTTGTGCACTTGGACGTTTTGGGCATTCCAAAGCAGGGCCAGACCCAAGGTTCTCCATGGATGAAGGCAGCTGGGAAGACCCCAGGTTGGATGCCCTGTGCATGCAATTGAAGGTGTGGGGAAGGAACATTGCCCTGGAGCCACGCACCAGGGCAGTAGCACCCACTCCCTGCAAGGAGCACAGCTGGGCAGGGATGGAGCACAGCAGCCAGCAGAGCACAGGGACTCAGTGTGATCCTCATACTCAAGACCCATAGGGGTCATTGACCCTCTCATGGGACACTGTAGTCCTACAGAATTACATTCCCCTAAATTAACAAAAATGGTGCTACCACATATGACATTAGCCCCAGAGAGTCATCACAGTGCACCCGTCTACAACCAAGAAGCTTTTCCCCATTGGGTGCTTTCACACTTTTATCCCTCTGTGATGAAGCCTGAGGGTGAGGAGATCACCCAGACAGCTGAGGTCTGCCAGGAGTGACAGGTAGAAGGATTGCAGTGCCTGCGCTCAGGCATATACTAAAATAACAGAAATGGCTTAATTCATACCTTTGGTTATTTTGGTGCAAGTCCTCGTGGGGATGCTGAGGTTAGAACAAAAGCATTCTATTTTTATTTAGTGTAATTATAGCTTGTCTACTTAGAAAAGCTGAATTGCTTTAACAATACTATTGCAGCTAACTCCCCAGAGTATGGATGCAGTTGTGCCAGGATAATGCTAATATAGCTTATTCTTGTTGGGAAAGGGGAAAACATTATGTGTGCAGATGCAGGTTCGCTTTCAAACAGCTGCAGCTGTTTGAAAGGTTACCACCAGGGCAGCCTGTTGCCACGCTTGTTCCTGGGGCTCCTCCCTCATAGCAGAGCCTTAAAGGCAAGTGTGCTCCATGGCCATCTGGCTGCAAAATTACAGTGTTTAATTCAGTATTAGGCACCTTCAGCCCAGCAGGTGTTCCACTGAAAGGCATGAGAAGATTCTGCATGGCTGCTCTGCTGTAATGGTGAGGGAGCTCAGAGCTACCTGTAGTGTGGTAACAGCTTGAGCAGTGATGCTGTTTCAACAGTGAACCACGCAGCTTAGTATAAGCGTGGTACAGGCGACAGTCACATCCCTGACCAAAATCAGGTACCAATCCCTGTACCATAAATTGTTACAGGTCCTTCTTCTCCTTCAATGGAGGCAAAAGGAAAGTGGATGAATGGCACAGACTTGTGTCCCTTCTTCTAAATTGAAAACAAATCACTTTTTAGTGAAACTCTGAAGGTAGCAAGGATCTGCACAAGACAAGGAACAGTATCTTCACTCATTTCTGGAGAACTACATGGTGCATGGAGGCTGGATGCTATTATTTCTGGTGCATTTCCTCCCTACTCCTCTGTGCAGGGGCAAGAACCACATTTGCAGCCCAGTATCTCCTCCTTATTCTGCATGGTTCTGCAAGTGTATGTATAGGTGCATCTCTACACAAGACAAGGTAATGCTAATGAAAGACACGTACAATGGGAAGAGGTACAGCTTTTAAGACTGTAGTTCCCACTGAGCAGCACCCAAGAAAGTTGTCTCCCACACACATTAGCTTTGATAGAAAGGCCCCTTGTGCCTGAGGAGCAGAGCTGTCATGAGGAGTCTCCATCTCTGTGCCAACATGCTTGTACCCTTCTCCTGTTAGAGCCCAGCAGTTGGTAGTTTTCTATCTCTAGAAATCCAGGGGAACTTTCCACCTCGGGGAACAAGAAATTGGAGAAAACTCAACAGACCAGACGAGGTTCATACCACATTTATTCAAGGAAAGAAATAAAAGGAGTACCATAATTACATTTTAACTACATTTTACTCTTAGTGGCATCCCATAAATCATCTACCTTGTTGGAATAGCCTATGGAATAGCTGGAAGTCAGCACACAGTAAATACGTTGACAGTAAGTATAGTGAATACTGTTTACTAGTTGGCTTTGGCCATCTTGGGCAATATATCTTGCTGAAGTCGTGGAAGCCGATGGATTTTTGCCCCCTTGGTCCATTTTGTCTATTTTTGGTGAAGAGAAGGTGAGTAGGTGTACTGCAGTCTCTGACACCATGCCGGAATATGGCACAACTGAGGACACAGGGAGGCACGAGCAATGTCACCTCTTATCTGCAGTGGCAAATGGCGAATTCATGTCCTGTCTGAGACACTGAGAACTCATTAAGAGAAAAGATGCACAACCACAAGGAAAAATGCTGTAGGTGGGAAATGAGAGGGCGGGCGATATGCACTGGGCGACAATCCATTTGAACGGCATCGAAAGATGGTGTGAGAAAGCCCTTCATGCAATGTTGCAAGCGAAAAATGCCACATGTACATTTTTAAACACCTTCAGCAGACAAATACAGCCAATGCATTGAGCTAAGTAGGCTCCAGCAAGTGAACTATAACAGCCTGCATTGTTTCTGTGCTCGGGCAGGGGGGTGTGAGTGAATTCAGAGCTGCATGGTTGCCCTATACTGTAATGTACCCTACCCAGTACTGTAGCCTTTTGTGTAAAAGGATGAGCTAACCAGTTGTTTTGCAAAGGGGGGGACCTTTTACACCACAGCAGCAAGTCAGAGCAGCTCCCAGGCTGCCGTGGTGGCGGTGGGCTGAGGGTGCATTGATGGAGGGATGCTGTAACAGATAGCCCCTGTTCCCAAGCTTTTGGCCTCAACCCTATCACATGCACACATCTTACAGGTTTGAACCCAATTGTTTTCAGAGCTCTAATCTGGGGGATAAATAGGCTTAATTCCACATAGGTCAACAGGGTGGCAGTTGTCTGTCTCAGGGCTGAATTTGACACATTATCAGCCAGTTCACAGAAACGCTGTTCCTCTATCCTACGTGCTTGTGTTAGTCAAATATTATTCTTCAAGGAAAATTACAGAGAGAGGAAATTATTTTATCAGGATGTGAAGTAGGTCATTGTTATACCCTGTCTTATCATTTTCCCTGTGATACAAAAACTATGAACTGGATACTGGCCTCGTAGAATGAAAGCTTTCTTTTTTCTTTTCTTGCAGAAACTTGAAAAGCCTGACACTGAAAGAGGCGAGGGAGTGAGGCAGCACGCTCTGAGCATGACGTGATGCACTGCTGCTTGTTCCAGGGAAGGGTATGGCCTGATCTGCGCGGCTGTCACCAAGATCCTATTCTTTAATGAGAAGAGCAACCCTGAGGTCTGGAAAAAAAACACCATCTCTGATGCACCCCTTCATTTTCCAAAAATCAGGATCCTGGTGACTTGGTGGAGTGGGTCAGTGGCATGTGAGGTGGTGAGAAAAGAAAGGGGAAGGAAAAGGAGGGAGGGAGAGAGCAGGGAAAGGACAGAAACCTGGGAAAGAAGGGGCAATTTATACAAAGGAGTGCTCTGTCTCTAGAGAAGTGTCTTTGAGGCTGTTCTTTGAGAACTGTGAGGGAAAAGGGCTAGAGAACTACAAGATACTGCTGCTTTTATTATATATTTGATCTGTAGTTTTAAAAAATTGTATTTTGCCAGGGCTTTTTTAATAACATTTTCATGCCCAAAGTATAGATTTCAGGGAAGTTTTCACTACCTGGCAAAAGGGATCAGTAAGTGGCACACATTACTAAAACAATAAGCTCTCACCACCCTGCCAGCTAAGTTTTGATTGAGAAGAGGCTATCAAAAACTCACAGGCAAAACCAATTGTTGAGATAAACATGGGGAAAACCCCACAAAACCAAAACAAAGCACAATTGCTTCAAGCCTCCCAAATTCCTATTTAATTCAGAAAACAAATTAACCCTAACCTCCTATCTGCCGTGCCTCTGCAGGGAAACCACAGTGGGAGGTGAGCCCTTTATCTCGCTTTCAAAATCCTTTTTGGCTGATCTGGGGTCAGGTGCTGAGAAGCACTGCATGTCCTGATTTTGTGTGACAGTCACCAATTTGCCAGCTTCTCCTGTAAGCCCCTCATTGCCCTAGGACTGCCCCACACTCCTCTGAGTGCACCAGAGGTGGGAGCTCTTCCCAGGGCTCTCCGTGCTGACTCTGAGCAGGGACCAAGCAGTCGCCCCAGCAGGTCACCTGGGCACCGCTGGAGACACACTGGGTAAGGTCTAGGTGGTGGCAGATAAATGTCTTGGTAAGAAAAATAACAAAGTTACCAGTTTTGACAAACGTCTGAATGAAGGAACTGCCCCTGCCCTGTGGTATATTGCATTTCACTGCTCTTCTTTTCACTAGGATTTATAACCTGCCGTGCTATTTCTGCCACAGGAGCCCCTGTTTACAGACAATCTGGAGAGAGGGAGGAAATCCAAGGACTAAATGGGAGGAGAAGAAAACATGTTGGACAATGTGCTGCACACTGGTGGGACTGGTGTGTGACAGAGGAGAGAGCTGAGAAGAGAAACGACAGCCCAGTTTGGACACACATCACTGAGGAGCTGGAGCAGAGCAGCTAGCACTCAAAGCTGGCATGGTTTCTGCAGCACGGGTGCTCTTTACTAGACCACCTATCAATGCATGTGTGAATTCCCTTACTAGTTTTACTAGCTGCCATAACCCCACCAGTTCCAAAGGTGGACTCTCAAAACAGCTGTCAAAATCCTAGCTTCCTAATGGGAGACCTCACTTTTGTTAACAGTGCTGGGAGGTGAGGGGAACAGAGAGACCTGTCTGCTCTGCCAGCAATGCTCCCAGGCTTGCCTCTGCACCCAGCCTCCCCAGTGAAGCTTGGCCTAGCCAAGAGATCTGTGCTGATCTGCTTTTGTGGACAGTTTGTCCCATGCATTTTTAGCTGGTTACTCTTTAAGTCTGAAAAACAACAATTGGTCCTAGTGTTATCTCTTTTGGAGCCTGCCACTTCCTCTTGGTATCAAACTTGGAAGAACCCCACGGCTACTGCTGAAAAGCTTTTTCCCTTTCCACATTTAAAGATCTTTTCTGAAAGCGGTTGCTAGGATCTCCTTGGTGGGGATTAAAAGGCTTGGAACAAGCCAGCCCAAGTGTCAGTTTTATTGAAAGTGAACAGGGTGGTCTTCTGTGATAACTGCCCGACTTTGAGGGCAGGCATCTCAGGAAAGCATCCACAGCTGGCTCCGGGGCAGCTTAGCAGAGAGGGAAAGCCATGGCTTTTTCTGTACTGCATGGTTAACATAAGGCAGGAAACTAAAGACCACGATGCACTTAGTGCAGAGCAAACGCTGCCATCCAAATCAGCACCATCCTGGCTCAGGTGGTTGTATGTGGAGGCTCCCAGGTGCCTCCCTGATCCCCAACTTATCTGGGCCAGCTCAGTGCCAAGTCAGTCCCACCTGCCTGGTGCTGCCAGCCACAGCTGGGGAGGAGCAGGCACTTCTCAGCATGCTCTGCTCTACCCCACCAGAAATCTGCTTCGATAGAGAACTGTGAGCAGGTTTGGGATATTGGAAAGCAGTTATGCAGGCATTATGTTTTTCTTCTCAGGGACAAGGATGAAAACCTTCGATTCTCAGGTTTTCAGGCTAGCACTTTTCAGCCGTAATAGGTATACATAAATCAGAAGCCAGCCACAATTAAATGTAAGAGATTTTTTCTCTTTCAGGCATCCTGTCTCTACTTGGGAGTCCTTCACTAGCATACAAGGCTGGGTGCAGGAAGTTGCCATTCTAGTCCATTTGAGCTGGATTTTGAAAGAAAAAGTTGCCAGAACAGTACCACCAGCATGGCTCTGAAAGGCAATGGTTTACTATCACATAGCAATGTTTTCACTAGCCTAGTTTAAAACTAATTTTCTGAGCAGAATGAGGTTCCAAGGGCTCCTTTGCTGGATAACCTTGACAGACTAGTGTCCTCTCTTAAATGGGAATTTATGTGCCTGAAAACGTGGCTCAACAGGGAAACTTCTGCTGAGTGAAAACTGAGCCTCAGTTTATCGGCGTTTGAGAAAGTACTTTGTAGGTGTCTGCAAGTCCTTAGACTAAAAATGTGAATAAGGGTAAAGCATTACTGGTAGATAATGTGATCCTGTCTTTGAACCTGCTTCTCCATCTGCTTTATGGATCTCCATATCTTTGACGGAGAGTGTTAGAGCAAGAAGGACAAAAATGCTGAACCTCTTTCAGCTTCGGTAGTTCAAGAGAAGGGTTTTTGTGGAGAAGTGCCCTAGGGGCTTTGAGCACCAGCCTCTGTTAGCTGCAAATACAAGCCACTAAAAAGCACCAGAGCTTTCCCACTGAAGTAAAGGCATCGGGAAGAGGAGATTAATAGGTTGCCAGCTGTGTCGGCGTGATAAGCCAAGCAAGAACCCAGATGCTTTCAGTCGAAAATGGATTGAGACCTCAGCAGGGGCACATGGCAAATCAGCCAGAAGCTACACATGGAAAACTGAGCAAGGCAGTGTGGGTAAACATTTCTTATCTTCACTTTACGTCAATAGAAATGGCATTGTAAAAGAGGCAGCAAAGTATTTGCTGGAGAGGAGGAGGGAAAAGTCCACAAGCTTTCTTGGCTGTACATGTAGGTTTTAAAATGCTACTGTTTTCCTAGGAAACCTGTCACTGAAAACAAACAACTATCAAAAATCACCCAGCAAGTTCTTCCAGAAGGCTGGCTGATTGCTTGTTTTGGTAGATTTAGCTGAGCTGTGCTGGCAGGAATCTGCCTGCCACTGCTGTTGTGCTCCAAAGGCAGTCGGGAAAGTACAACTCCTTAAACCAATCTAAAGCACAGCTGTCATAATCACCCCATCTAGTCTGATTTGCCACAAAACAGGACTTGTGGGAGAGGCAGACCTCAGAAATCTGGAGTTTCTGCAAGGTGATGCTGTCTGCAGCCATCTCCCTGTTTCCCACAGTTCTTGCTTCTACAGCAGCCCAGCCCAATTACCTTCATAGGCTTTTTCTTTGCTTTCTGGTTTTATTGTTTTCTTTAAGGCTAATTAACAGAAAGGTGACTGAGGCCCAGGTTTCTTGTGTGGATTTTTTTTTTGTGCTGGTGGTGTTGCTTTTCATTTTGCTGAGTTTCCCTTTTGCTTTTAAACAATTATATGCAAGAAAAGCACCTTTCCTACCAGAGGCAGTACTGAGTGAGGAGAAGACTCAGCAAGCAGAATAATAATAACTAAGGTAGGGCCATGAGTAGGTTTCGCCTCCTCCTCCCTGTTTTGCAGCACCACCCTGAGAAGGTAAAGGGCCCTCACTGCACCTCTGCTGTCAGCACCCTGGAGCAGGGAAAAGCACAAATATTTCCACCCCATAGGAGGTGTGCAGGTGTCAGTAAGAGGTGAACTGGGATAAACACAGATAAAGCCTCACAAGCTGGATCCTTATGTCCTCTGGATCCACCCCTGCCCTGTGAAACCTTCAGCTGGCCTCTAGCTGGGTTATGGCCAGAGGTGGGCTCACTGCATCTGGGTGTCTTGGGGCAGGGCCATCCATCACGTGCTGGTGGGGAGCTGTGGCTCCCAACACTTTCTCCTCCTGCCACAAATCCTCACACCCACATGTGCATGGCTTTGCAGGGACTTTAACCTTGTGCCTGGGAGCTAGCCCTGGAATTCTGAGGGTACTCTGTCAAAAGGTCTGGTTGTGACTTCGGGTATCAAAATAATGGTGTTGCTTATAAAAAAAACCTTCAAAATATGATTGTTGATAAACCCATGCATTTTCATATAATGCATAATTAATGAACACAGATGCTCTCTAGTTGCAGTCCCTGACATCATAGTGGTGGACATGGTCTAGGAACAGAGACAGATGACCCAGTAGCTGAATAACTGATCATCTCCCTCAGAACACAGGTATGGGGAAAATTAATGGCAAAAATAGAAAACGGAAAATTCATGATGCTCAACTGCTTTCTGTTTTTCTCAGCAGGGGAACTTCAGGCAATGTGTCTGTAAAGCACCGAGCACCTTCCACTCTTCCTGACCCCACCAATTTTCTCTGCACAAACCATCCATATGGATTTGTCATGTGGCCTCTGAGAGACCCTGAGGCCTTGTACATCCCAGTAAGTCAAAGCATATGGGGTGGAGGAGCCGCATCCCTGCCTAAGCTTCTGCAAGTCCCTAAGGGTCAAGTTAAGTGCAAGCCTGATCCTGTTGTCTGGACCAGGCTTGCCCAGTGCATGTTTAACTGTCCAGCCTCAGCAGGCTGGGTTTCCTCTCAGCTGCAGGGCTCAAAGGAGATGGCCCCTGTCTCACCCCATGTGGTCCTGGGCAGCTCAGCATCCCCACCAGGCCAGGGGCACATCTTCGTGGCTGGCTCATCTTCACCTGCCCGAGGGGCTTCAAGCCCTGGGGCTGGGGCAGGAGGTTGAGAAACAAGAAGGCTGAGGGACTGAAAGACTTCTCTGGAGCCATGTAGTCCTTTCAGCATTTCCATGAGTTTATTTTTCCTCTCAGACCCAGGGGCTTATCAGCACTTCCCTGCCCCACAGGGATGTTGGGATGAGCTAATCCATTAAAAGCTGTGCAGTGCTGAGACACCAAGTCTACAGCCACACAAATTAATAAGATGGGCCAAGGAATGTTTTCCACCTCCAAGACCCATTGGCATGCCCTGCCATTCCCAAAGGGATGTACTCCTGTCCCCCCAGAGCAGGAGAACTGTGCCCAAACCACCTGCCGAGAACCACTCCAGCTCCTGAAATATGCCTGGGCATTGGCAGCAAACTCATGCAAGGGCAGTGCCAACCATTTAATTGCATGGGCAACTGCCTGGGCCTGTGCCCTACCTCTACTTTATTAATTTATTAGTACCTTGCTGCTAGCCTGCACTTGTACAGACAGAGAGTTTGCCTTTAGCAAGGACAATAAAGTGCCTGTGAGGGAAAAGTCCAAAGTGTTTCATTGGTTTTAGTAGAAAAAGGTGCTTTCTCCTCTGGGTTTCCATCTCTTTTCTCCTGGTCACTGTGGAGCTGGGTTTGGTTGATTCAGACAGTGAGATTTTTTTTGTGCAGTGCCTAGCAGAGGGAGCCTTGGTGGCCGTGTATCACTGCCATCCCAGCGGATCATGCTGTTGCTGTTATAAACATAATACAGCCAGGTTTAAGACAGGGATGTAATGCTCTGAGTGGCCAGCTTACTGAAGGGAACAAAGAAATGATTATAGGGCTAGAGAAAAAGTAAGGGGGAAAAAACTAAAAGAAAACAAAGAGCCATTGACAAGAGACAAATTAGTTAGCTCTCGAGTGTCCTTCTCCATCTGATAAAACAAAAATGTCCAGAGCAACAATTAACAAAAAAAAATATGCAGAGTAGAATATCTCTGTTTAGCTCCAGGTACTGACTGTACACAAGACTCTTTCTTTTTGGTTGTTGTTCTCATGTTTTGGGTTATCTTGAGCCTTGGTTAGTGCAGAGCTGGTTGCATGTGTGTATGTGTATGTATGGTGCAGTCCCCACAGGTTTGAGAGCTGTCTTTTGTGAAGGAAGGGAAGCCCCACTGAAGGGCAGCAAAGGAGCAAAGCAGGCGCAGAGGATACAGGAATGTGCTTTGGCTGCTCCTAAGGAAACACAGCTCAGGGGTAGGAATTAGTGCTGGAAAAGGACTCAGAACTAGAGGCAAATCCAGCAGGTGGTTAAGGTTGGGAAGACAGCACTAAATAAAACCAAGAAAAGGAAAGCTGAGGAGAGTGCTGCTCCTGGGCTGCTCTGGGGTACATTGCTCATGGCTGGCTCACTGGCAGGCAGCGAGGTGGGGGAAGGATGGGCTGTGCCCACGAGAGGGTGGTATGAACAACAGGGAGCTGAATGATGTTTGGTTTTGCCTCATCAAAGAGAAAGGGAATAATCCGTTCTCCATGGCATGTGGAGGTAAATAAAGAAATACGTAGTGAGCTCAAACTGCAGCACAGAAAGCTCAATACAGATAGCAAGACAATGTTGTGGACAATTGCATATTGCAGTTGCCTCCAGGGACTGAGGCATCTCCAGAAAGGTAAGACACCCAGGGCTGTCAGGAATGGTTAGGGACAGCTGATTTTGTTTCTAGGCAGCTGGGGTGCAGTGGTGTTTCCTGACAGTTGCTCTTCCAACCATACTTTTGGAAAACAATCCAAAGGCTGTCAAGTGCTATGGCTCCGTGGTGATTTTCACTGACAACAGAAAGGAAACTAGACAAAGGCTAGGATGCATTTCAGTGTTCTTGCTCTCTTACTGTAATATTTGTTTACATGTGTGGAAGCAGATGTACCTGTTCCATTCACTTTTTCTCCATTCACTTCACTGACCACCTCCTCTTGTCCTATGAATCGTTGGTCTGTCCCTGAAGTGCAGCCTATAAACCGTAGGACTGGATAACCTTATGGGAGCTGTTTTGGGTCCCTTCCCTGTGTGAGTGTGACCAACTGCCCAGTGCCAGGCACTGTCCCAGGGGACTGTTCATCTCTGTGGGTGAGGTACAAACTGGTGTTGGGTTCAGAGCAAAGCCCGGCCCATCTCATGCTGCCGGCTGCTGCTCAAAAGCCTGCGAAATGAATAGTCAAGACCTGTCAGATATACAGCTAGATGCTGTTAAGTGCTCTTTGTCATGGATGCTAGATTGCTTTCTATCAGAGATAGATCACAGAAACAAGAAATGACTCTTGCCTCTTACAGTTTTGTGTTTGGAAGCAGTTGTTCTTAGCTATGTTATATCATTTACCTATATCACACCATCTCTGGTCTCATTGGAAGTCTCTACTTCGTTTGCAGTGACTCCTCTTTCCTTCCCTGCTAGAGTGGCAGACTCACCTACTAACCTCAAAATTGGTCTGAATTCCTTCTACTTTCCACAGCAGCTAGTGGCACCACAGGTTACACAGTCAAAGTTTGCCCAACAATCTTGTTGCCGTAGTACGAAGCAGAAAGGAAAAGACCTATCTTTACCTTTACTGCATTAGCTTTTGTAGTTCAAATAATTAAAATTTCTTTTGTCACTAAACTGCGGGAACACAAATTGAAGATGCAGAAATAAAAACATCATTTTTTTCCTGATGCACTGAGAACTGGATTCTGCAAACCCCCATGCAGCTTGCTTCCCTGTTAACCGAAGCGTAAATGTTCTTGTGTTCAGGGCCTCTCTCCCCTGACTGGAGCCCTTCTGCATGGCTTGTCCTTCAAAAGCTGAGTGACAATAAGAAATTGTCCTACTTAAACAAGGGACCTATTTCACCTTCTCACCACACTCATAAAAAAATGGCGATGCTAAATACTCTTAAAGATCAAAGGCCCAGTATGCAAAACAGATCCTGTACACCAAACTGATGGGCTTCTCAGGCTTTTGTTGCTATGGTGCTATTTTCTTGACAAGTTAAAATATCCCTTGTCAGTCTCCATGGCAGCCTAGAGGGAGAAGTAACCATCAAAAAATAACTGAATATTTTCTTTGACTACAGCCACTGAGTGGTTAATTTTTTTTAAGCTTTAATAACCCTTGACTTCAAGTTTGGCTATTAACCCACCAACTGATCATTAACTATATAGACTGAATGACTGATGTCCAGAGGATTGGTGTAAAGCAGGATTAGTTTTTAGATTTTTTTTTTTTTTTTTTGGAAGGACTCTAATATCTCCCACCACCAGACAGACAACCTTTTGATTCCCCCTTAAGACTCTGGGGCTGAGCAGAGAGGTACTTGCAGGTTATCTGCATAGAAACACACTGCTCAGAGCTGATAAACTCACTGACGCTCTATCCTGCTTTCCAATTTAACTCAAGCCTTGCTGAGCAGCAGGAGTAACCTGAATGAATTGCTGGGGGTCACAGCTTGATGTCTTTAATCAACATTCCCAGCTTAATCAATGGGACTTTAGGTAGACTGAAACACAAATCTGAATATTTCTGGTATTTACCCTGGTGCTTGTCCTTTTCCTAACAGGACAGCTAGTTATGAATAAATGCAATGTTGCTGCAGAAATGATCAAATGTCAATTGGACTTCTCTTTTTTTACCCTATTCATCTTTAAAATGCCTACAGCTGAAACTTTCTAGTGGCAATTTGCTTAGGCCATTTAGATAATAATGTGCTAATAAACGAAAGGAGCATTCTTTTTTCATGAATAAACTATTCTGACTCACAGTCCATGTCCTAAGCCACAAGACCATCCTGTCTTTATGACCTGAGATCCATAAGACCTAAGGAGCTGACTCTGACTCAGCAGAGGAGGGCTGGGATTGGACTGTGTTTGCTATGTGTATCTTTCTTCCAAACACAACGCAGCCAGAAGTAAGTTAGGAAAAAGCCTCTGGCCCTGATTTCTCTTTGGGGTTTTGATTGCTCCCTTTGGTATGAGAGTGAATTAAGTTCGGATTTATAAATAGCAGCCTAACCACCCCTGTGCTGACAGGCACAAATGTCAGGAAATATGTAGTTAGTTCCACCGGTGCGGCATCTTTGAACTTTAATTTTAAGTACCTCTGTCATACCAAGGGGAAGCAGAACAACACATCTGGAAATAAAAGGTTCCTGTTAGACTTTCGCACTAACTATTTCCAGCTTTTTTCCAGATAGGAGTTTTCAGTAAAATGTTTTCTAATTAAAAAATACTGATTCCTCAAAACTATTGTTCTTCTCGTGAGAGCTACAAAAGAAACACGACCAGTACATTTCTCAAATAAAAATAGTAAGGAAAAAAATTATGAATATCAAAGCATCACTTTTTTTCATTATTGACATTTAAAAAATATTTTCTTTATCCAAATGTCTTCTACAATGTAAATAATTATACTTTTAAGTGTTACTTAAAAAAAAAAATCTTGAAAGCTCTGAAATTAAGTATTTCCATTGACTCAAACTGCATTTCTATTGTTTGCTTGCAAATATTTTCCATGGCTTCATTTTTGATCCCATTTTCTGACTTGAGAGACTTTTTCCATTTCAAGCACCTGCTCTCAGCTGAAAATAATAACCAGATATTTTGTGCTTGAATAAAAAGTAGAAAGAAGTTCCAGCTAAGACAGGCCACATGTGCCTTTGGAATATGTTTACAGAGGAGCAGCACACCTGTGCTATGGCTTCAGTTATAATAGCAAGACTCTGCTGTAAGTCAGCCAGGTGAGGAGTGCTCCATCAGACTATACCCTCCTGTAAGGAGTTGCTAGCATGACGTTCAGCAGGACAACAAAGTGGAGAGGAATAGACAAAAACTGTGAGACAGTAATTTTTCTGCATATGTTTATTGAATTTTCCATTTGCAGAGGTGCAATCACGTTGATTCACAGCTGGCAGGATAAATGTCCCAGCATAACAAAAGCACCAGGTTTTCCAGCATTCATTTCTAATGCTAAAATCCTGCAGAAAAATCTGTTACTGTGCATAGGGAGGGACTGTTCCTGATGGAGGCAAAGCTCACAGTGAAGTACCAGCTGCAGCATTGGAGCCAAGAAGTTGCAGAGGCAGCTGCTGTTTGCCTTTCCCCACGTAGCATTCCTGCCTCCAGCCCTGCAGAGCAGTGGGACCAGGAGTGCACCAGTGACGCTGGCTGCATCCTGCACACATGTAAAGCTGCCTCCTCAGGCTGTGGCAAGCTAACACTGGAGAGGTTTTTCCAGCTCCCAGGAATGAAATAGCACCTCTGCCAATACAGTTCATAGCAGAGCCTCAGGAAAAAAAAGCCCTAGTATAACTACAACCATCTCCACAATCACAGTTGTCATTGCCCCTGAGGGCAGAAACCACAAAAAAGCCTAGACCCGAAGCAGCAGCACTGTGCCAGATGCACTTGCTCTGTGCCCGAGGCTGGGCTGCTGAGCTGCTTGGGCTGAGCTGCTGGCTGTGGGGCTGCCAGGAGGCTGAGCTGCAGAGCTGTGCAGCTTTGGGGCTGCTGCGCAACTTGGATGTGGCACTGGATGATGGGCTGGGTGGATGGGTGGTAGGGATTGCTGGACTCCCGGGCTGTAGGGCTGCACGATGCTGGGATGTGGGGATGCTGAAATGCAGGCATCTGGCGCTGGGTGTTAGGCTGGGTGTCTGCAGGGCTACAAAAATGGACATTTGGGTGCAGATCGTCTAGTGTTCTTGGTTGTGCGACTGCTGGGACACCGACCTGGGGAGATATGAGGCTGCTGGGTGGTGGGCACAGGGAAATGTTGGGCTGGAGGGCTGTGTGTGGGCTGGATCCAAGGCCGCAGGGGTGCTGAGTGGAGGGGTGGCAGGACTGCAGAGCGGCGTGCAACTCTGCGAAGCTGGATGCTGGCCTGTGACAAGTGCGGGGGAGGTGGGGATGGGCTGGGCTGGGCGCGGGGCGGCGGCGATCCCGGGATGCGGGTCTGGGATGCGGGTTGCGGCGGCGGCGGTCGCCCCCTGCTGGTGGTCCCACCGCGGGGCCCTGTAGCCGGTTCATCCCCTCCTTGGCCGTAGCAGCTGCCTGAATTCACAAGGATGTTCACAGTATTTTTTTTGTTTGGTTTGGGTTTTTTGTTTTAATTTTTTTTTTCCCCTCCCTTTGTGCCTAGAGCTCACAACAGGAGCCTGCATGCCCCATGTGCGGTGTCCTGTGGTGCCATCAAGTTACTGATTTATTCCATTAGCCACAGCTTAGAGATCACAGCTTCACACTCTGAGGCTGGTTGTCCGCTGGCTGAAGTCACTCACAGGACATCAAACCCTGGCATCATCCTTGTTTGCAGCTTGCTATGGCCATGTGCATCGCAGAGCTGTGAGCAGGACTGGCACCCAGTGTCCTCAGCACCCCTCAGGTCCAAGCAGCACAGCATCCCCACTAAGCAGCACGACAAAATTGTGCTTACAGGTACCTAATGGACCTAACTCTCCTTCCACCAGGGACAGCCGGGACACATACACTGCAAGCTCCTTAGCCACCCATAGTGGGGTTATTTTTCATTCCCTTATTGGCTACTTTTGCTTCCTACCCTAAAACACCTCCACGATCAGGCCTGCCCTGGTATAAGTACAAACAGGCTATGCTGCACTCGTTTCTTCATCTCCTCCTGGATGAATGAAATGGTTACTCAGATGGTTAACTACTAATCAAATACAGGCAATACCAGCCCCTAGGACACTGCATGTGGTACAGCGAGTTTCCTGGAGCTGTCCTGTGCCACTTGTGCAGTGCTGGCAGCACAACTAGACCTCAGGGGGTGAGACCTGGCACAGCATGTTTCTCAGCTCTCACATGCTCCATGGACCACTTCTGGAGTTTTTTTTTTGAAGCAAGAAAAACCTGATGCTTGAACTGCTCACAAACAGCAGGAAGAAAACACACTAGGTTTTACCCAGTTTTAATTTGCAGACCCCAGTATTTTCCAACAGAGGTGCAGTCCATCTGTCACAAGGCAACTGTCAATAGGGTTGATTTCCTTAGTTCCCCTCCCCTGCAGATAACCCTCAGGGCCTGCAGACAATAGGTTGCAAACTGTTGGCATTGATAGATTATCTTCCTCCCCTTCCATGCAGCCTGGAAAATTGCTTGCTTGTCTCTTATTTAAACAAATTAAATATTCCAACCCCAAACAATGCTAGAGCTAATAATGGAAAGAGGAACCAGTTTAGGATCTGAGTCTCCTACTTCCTGATTCTTTCCATCCCCACCCCTCTGCTCTGGCACCCACTTCTTAGACTTTAATTTAATAACAAAGTGCACAGATGTGTCGGGGAGGGTGTGTGCATTCAGACTCGCGGTGTTAACCAGAACATCTGAGCAGGGCAAGGGACAAAAAAAATCATTCCAAAGGTATCAGTGTTTCAAACTGTGGCCTTGATGCAGGGTTTGAGCTGGCAAGTTGGGGAATTAGAGTCTTTTCTGCATCAGGAACACCAAAAAAAAGAGATCACTTTCTGCCTTTCCTACTCCTGAGAGGCTCTCCCAGGGATGGGAGCCGGTCATAGAAAGAACCAAACACGTATTTCTGCAGCACCAGCACGAATACAGATACACAGAGCAAGAACACATTTAGTGCTGCAGACTCCTGGAGGCAAGCTTGGCTTGCAGCTCCCATATATGTGTGCCAAGGTACTCGTGTGCTGCAGTACAGGCGTGTTCAAACCCTTGCACCGCAAAATACTGGAGCTATTTTAAGGATGGGAAAGCATCTGGCCAGTAAACAAGCTTTGTGTGTTTGGGCCTGGCTCTTTGTAAAGCCTTGTTTCTTCCAGAATATTGGAAGTAATGAAAGTGCCTGCAGTAAAATACCTGATAAGCGTCTCCTCCTCTGTAGAGAGGGTAAGTGCATGTCATTTTCCAATTAGCTCTTGCTCTGAGCAATTATGTTGATCAAATAATTGAACAAGTGACAGGAATGTGAATTCTGGAGACAGTTAATTTCATTCATCTGCCAGTTTTATAGCCTGACTTGCATGAACACATAAACCAGGCTAATGTGTTATTTATAACTTTGAAAATACAATTATAATAGTCAAACATGAAGAGTTGTGTGTGCAGAGAGGAAGGTTTCTGCTAGTAAATTATAATAACAGCATGATGAGGGAGTTTGTTCTTTCTCGCCATCACGTTGGACAGGAAGGATGTGAGGCTTGTGTTTGAAGGAGTGAACAGGGTTGGTGTCAGCAAGAGCAGGTGGAGCAACGGCCCTGACCTGAGTGGGGGGCAGAGGGGCAGCTGAAGCCTTACCTTCCTGTTCTGTGAGACATCGAGTATGCGCTGCCCCAGGGACTGTCAGTGAGCTCTAAACATCCCCCCAGCTCCCCATACACTTCTCTCCGAGCACCATTTTTGGGAGAGAAGCAGCACTGCGATCCTGTGTATGAAGGTGGGTGCAAAAGAGACCAACTAGGTGTTTCCCACTCAGGATTGGTCTTGGGCGAGCATCGTGGTGCTCTGGAAAAAGCTCCAGTCGAGTGTCCTCCACAACAAGGTACCTGTAATAACCCTTGTGAACCTGGTCCCAATTTCCATTAAAAGCATCAATTCTGCTTGCAAGTTTTCTTCAGGAAAAATAATAATAATAAAATTTAAAAAAAAAAAAAAGCCATTTAATTTTCTTCTTAAAGCTATCTTTAGATTGCCTTAACTTATTGTACCTTTTATCTGAACCCCCAGTAGCAACCTGGCCTAACATCCAACAGGAACTAATTAGCAGAGATATACAGTAATAAAAGTAGTGCACAGGCATGAGCCACCACCTCAAAGGAGTATTACCTGGTTGAGTGCTGCAGTGGATGCAAGGAGGAAATCTGTGCAATTAATTGCTTCCTGATTAAAGGCATTTGCAGTCTGGCCCTTAAATCTTCAAGGCCTAAAAACACATGCTGAGTAAAATACGGAATTTGCACACAGTAGTCAAAAACACTGCCCTAGACAGCAGGACTCAGTGCTATAATTTTGGTTGGAAATAAATGCTTTCCTGTCTAAGCATCCCCAAGTCAAGTACATAGAAAGTGCTCCAGTCAAAGCTAAAGGGCCACAGAAGGACTCGTGTGGGTTTAAAACAGTTTCTAAAACAGCTTACTTGAAACCTTACCATTTTCCTGTGAGGACACAATCTTACTGGCATTAATTTCACAGAGCAGGAGGCAGCAGAGGCAGAAACCCCAGGAAGTCTGAGGCTGAAAGGCTATTTAAATGGTAATAAACTTCAGGGGACAACAAAAAGTCGTGACTGATTACAGGCGCACCAGGAGAGGGGGCTATCTGGTGTGAAGACGGTGGGTGGTGGTGGCACAGGGGCTGTCTGCTCACTACACACATCACTTGTCGCCAAGCAAACAAGATGGGGTTTAATCCCACTAGGAGGGATGAGACCTATTTCAGGCCAGTGGACAGCAGGAAGAAAATGCTCACTGTGGAAGGTTCTGGGGCTGGGTAGTGAGGGAGGATGGTGTGTGGCAGGAGTTTGGGACTATACAAGGCAGCACTGGTGCCACATCTCAAAACAGCAGCTGATCTGGCCTCTCTGTGCACCCTTCACTAAGTATTATAGTTTTCCCAAGGGCATTTCCTCCACCCTAACACTGTACCACATATTACAGCCAGTCAGATGAAGCAACTTCATTTTAGCATGTTCAACTCTATTATTGCTGCCTCCTGGAAAGTTGCAGCAGTAGTGACTTATGGAGCCACTAAGAAGGGGCAGGCTTTGTTTGGGACAATAATTTGTCACACTAGAGTTGAGGTGTCCCAAAAACACACACTTTGTTTGCTCATGCACTGTCACTTCTTAGACTAGTGTTGCCCCCCGCCCCCATTGCTGCTTTGTCAGTTGGTTTTTCTAAATTCGAAAGAAATTTACTGATGCTGCACTCATGAAAAGCACTTCAGCATCTAATTACCTCTGACTATAGGAGTGGGACTCTCAAATTCAGGGGAATATACTGTGCTCTCCAGTGTGTACTAAAGTCAGAGGCATAAAGATTACAGATATTTTCTTGCAGTCCTCCCAGTCCCCCTCCTCCTTAGTGACATTGTTATTGGTGAGAGCAAGCAGGGAGTTTTGTAGCCTAAATTACATTAAGACATGCACAGACGAACCAAACATGCACTTTGGCCTCCTTCCTCCACAAAGCCAATCTGGCACCTCTGCTGGAGAAGTTATATTGTGGAGTGGGAAAACAAACAATCTTGCCAATTGTTAGTGAGAGGAAAAAAAACAGAATGGGAGCTGCTTATCAGAGACCTCCATTTTGAGACAAAAATTCACCGAATCCTGAGGAAGGAAGGATTCTCTGCAGAGCTTCAAGTACTCCCCTGACAACCCCATCCTGCAGGAGCTGGGGCTGGGAGCTAGGCCCCTTCCTATTGTGAATACTGGGTAGGAAGAACTGAAAATGAACATAACGGGAATCCCCAGACTGCAACAGTGCTACAAAGCATAATTAAAACAAAACAAAGCAAAACACATTAGTCTGAACAAATCAGACTGGCACAGACTGTTGTCTATGAATTGTGATTTTTAGGAGAAGTAAGAATGACTGAAAACCCAGGGAACTCAAAGACCAGAAGTGTGGAAAAATTTGAGGCAAAGTTTTTCCTCACTCCAGTTAGATTGGGAGGGTGTTTGAAGTTCAGATCTTAATTTCGCCCAAGTTTGCAGGTGTTTAGATTCACATACCTCACATCACAAAGAATTTGACTCTCTCACCTTCGTGAGCATTTTAATTTTGTCTGGATCAGCTTTCTGGAAGGACAGAGAAAGAACTATGTGTTGTTCAATTAGCTGATGAGTTGTAGGCTTTTTTTTTTTTTTTAAATAACTTAAAATCATCATTAATCCAAGCATCTCCAAGGATTTC